TCAATAAAACTGACAAAAATTATTAAGTTAAACATTGTATAACTTAAACATTTTAGCTGAAACCTGATTAAATTATTAAAATAAGTAAGAGTAACAAAAAAAATTGTTGTCCTGACTTTTAGTCATTACATTTTTGTATGTGTGTATAGCCAAAATTTGAAATTTTTTTTGCTTAATTTGCTACACATATTTTGATGTTCTTAAAATATATGTCGAACAATTGAAGTAAAACATATTGATTGATTGACAGACAAAACTACAAAAATGTGTATATTTGTAGTCTGAAAAAATATCTTTTACAGACTATTTTTACAATTTTACAAATTTACAATTTTTTTATTTATTTTTATTTTTCTTATTTTTTTATACCACAATTACATTTTCTGTATATATGCATATGCCCTAAAAAATTAATTGGATTCACGAAATTTAACTCACAAATTCAGCCTATATAAATTGTTTGAAACCACTTACTTTAAAAAGTTTGTAAATCCAATAAATAATTTTTCCCAGTGATATATGGATCCAGTGCTCAGCATATATAAGTACACACCTCACAAATCTATCTTTTAAATTCATATTTTTAATAGGATGCTGTACATTATTATATTTGTGCAAATACATTAGATTAGTCAGTACTAAAACTAGTACAGCCAAATTTATATGTTATAGAAAAATATTATATACAAATTTAAAGAGGAAAAATCAGCAGTTGAAATTTTGTAGTTTTTTTTGCAATATTTTGCTTGAATTTAACTGTATTTTCTTTCAATTTCTAAAAATGTTTGGCGATTAAAATATTATTTGAATAAATATTTCTGTTTAATAAATCTGTTTTGCTTAAATGCACTAAAATACATTGCCTATATTCACTGAGAAATGGATACAAATATTCATTTATAAAATTGGGTGTGCTGAATTATGCTGAGCACTGTATATCCAGAAAATCTAATTGTGGGTGACAAAAAATTTAAAATACAAATAACGAAAAATCTCATCATTTTCTGCCAGGACATTTTTAAACAGTGTTTAAAGTGTATTTTAATGATAGTGATAGCAAAACTGTGGTAACACAAATGCCAGTCAATCCACCCCTCCAAAGAACATGTGTGCTACACCTTTACTTAAAACCATGGTTAATTTTCATAAGGGCATTATTAGTCTCACTTTAACGTATGATGCATCTGTCAACCAAAAAAGCCAGAAACATTGAAGAAAACATCAACACACTGACGCTCATGTTTGCATCATACTCACTGGCCAAAACAAGCACATCACATGTCTCTCTCTCCCTACTCATCCTGCAGTTTCCAGAAAAGACTCAGTGCATGCTGATGGAGTCCTTGCTGAGCGGTGCTGTTCCTGTCAGAAACGAGCCGAGAAAACCACCAGGGAGACGACAAGAGCTGACTCCACATCTCTGAGAAACACTGTTTACAAACCAGCACAGAAGCAGGGTCACCATTCACACACACAAACACAAATAAAGTCTACAGCTGTAGAGATATTAGGACTGCCAGTTTAAATGTAGTAATTACTATTATGCTGGATATTAAGTTGACTTTATGTACTTGCATGCTGATATTCACTGAGGAAAGCTTCAAATTGAAAATAATTCAGAGTTGTATATCTGTACATAGGCATAACAATAAGTCAATATTTTTAAATTTGTGAGTCAACTTATACCTTTTGGGTCGGGGTCCAAAGTGTTTTGTGCTAATGTTTTTTATTAATACACCGAAAAAAATGCTGTCTGCAAAGTTGTTGCAAACAATTTATTTGTGTTGAATTTAAACAAACAAATTAAATTTAGTAATGTTCAACTTAATTTGTTTGTTTAAAATCTGCCCAAATAAATAGTTTATAACCCCTTAACTTTAAAAAAATTTAGTAAATCCAAGGAATAATCCTTGAATCATTTTTTCAGTGTATACTTAACTGATTTAAAGGACGGGGTTAGCATGATTTTTCATTCTTATCATTATCATTCTTTAAAGAAAAGAAAATGTAATAATAAAGGTCAAAGTTAAGGCTTAGAAACTTATAATTATACTAAAAGATTCAGACAAAATTCTTGAAAATGTTATCAGCTATAAGTATAAACAGAAAAATATTTGATCTGCAAATAACCATATTAGAATGATTTCTGAATGATCTTGTGACTGAACCCAGCAGGCACATAACGTTATAAAATGTTAATATTAGTTTAAATTTAGGTCGTGAGGTCTAGTGACCAAAATTCTATGTTTAGTCAGCGTCTAAGGACAACGTTATTTTGGCATCTAATAACAACGTTGATATTTGGTTGATTTTAGGTTGTGTTGGAAAGTGATTAAAATCCAACATCGAGCCAACGTCATATTGACATCAAATATTGACATTTACTGTATTCGTCAGATATGACAACCAAAATCCAACGTCTAAGAGGTAATATGATAACATCCAGACAACGTCAAGTTGTAACATCATTAGACGTTGATATTTGGTCGATTTTAGGTTGTGTTGTTTATTCGTCAGGTATGGCAACTAAATTCCAATGTCTAATAGATGTCATATGGTAACGTCCACATAACATCAAGCTGTAACATCATTAGACATTGATATTTGGTTGATTTTAGGTTGGATGTTAGACATTGGTGTCGGTCTGACGTTGGGTTCTGACGTCAACACGATTTTCATTTCCAAACAAAATGCAACATCTCTACGACATGGGGGTACAACATCAATCTGACGTCATATTGATGTCCTGTGCCTGATGAGAAGTAATGATAGAAATCCAGCCTGATCTCACAAGGAAACGTTGTGTAACTATTTTACATTTGGTCAGTTAAGTGGCTAATTCATACAAGTTCAGTCGTATAAAAACATGCGATTTTTAAAAGGAGGCATGGAACCAATCCCCACACCTAAACCCAACCATCATTGCAGGAAGAGCAAATCTTACAAAATTGTAAAAATGAGATCCTACGAATTGATACGAATTAGCCACTGAATCGAAAAGTTACGAATTGCGTTGAGAAAGCATTGAAATTCAGCTTTACTATCATAAAATGACATTTAAATAATGCGTTATATTAATATTTCACAATATTGCTATCTTTGTTTTTAATCAAATAAATACAGGCTTGATGAGACGTCTTTCAAAAACATTTTTTTTTTTAAATCTTACCAACCCCAAACTTTAAAGTAGTCTATCATCATTTTAATTACTTCTACTAGACTGCAATATTAAAGTGCCAGCCCTAATATAAAAATGTATATGCGAAGTTTAAAGCAAGTAATTAACCAGGCACATTATCATGCACGGTAATGCAATAAATTAATTGAATCCAAACTCATCATCTCCCAACTCAACTTCAAAAGGTCCTGGCATTTCAAATCAATCTATCCTGCGTGGGCATCTCTTGCTTCATTTAAACATGAAAAAGCATGCGCTGTCAGAGCTGGAGTTGACAGGGAAATCATGTATCAGGAAGAGTGGTTTCTTCCTGTCTGAGATCCATTCACTCCATCTGACACACTGCCAAAGAGAAACACAACTCATACAGCAGAGTGCCTCTGAAAATGGCCCTCTCTGTGTCTGTAGATGTCAATGGTGCATGTGCTAAATCTGCAATTTGAACGCAATCTATTGTAAATTGTATTGCAAAAAAGTCCAAAGCTCTTGAAAATGTGCCCTCACGCTTGTAAAATGTTGCCAACAGGCTCAAAACCCAAACACTTTGTAAATATTCATTGAAATGCGCAAAGAAGTTTAGAAAACGCTCTGATTAAATGGGGCTTTTCACACTTGAACTGGTTAACCCTGGGTTTTCTCACTTCGATTTACACTAGCTTAAAATAAACCCGGGGATAATTAATCCGGGCATTCATGAAATTTCACATTGTACAATCCTTATTTGCATATTTGAGTAGTCAGTGTCTTTGATTGGATAAATGTTTAATTAATAGCAAAATTATGCTAATCCCACTTTTGAAATACAGAAACAATGTGTAAATTGTGTAAATGTTCTTCTACCACTCAAGCATGGTTATTAACCTGGCTAAGTGTGAAAGACTCCTTTGCTCGTGATTAAAAGTGGAGTTTATAATGACAATAATCCAGGGTTAAAGGGTTAGTTCACCAAAAAAATAAATTAACTCATTATTTACTTAAGGCATCCTTGATATATATGACTTTCTTTATCAAATCCAATCAGAGTTATTTTAAAAATAATCTTGGGCTTTTTTCTGCTCTTCAATAGCAAACGGAGGCTACTTTTTATCAGCAATCTAAAAGTTCAATAAAGCGCATCAATTCAGAATGAAAAAGTTTGTCACGCAGCTCCAGGAAAAATAAATGTAGTTTTTGTGAAAGAAATATCCATATTTAAAACTTTATGAACAATTTTGTGTAGGTTCCAATGAGCGCTGTCCGTCGCCGTCTTCTCCTTCATGTAAGGTGCATTTTGACGCCATTAGCTGGACAGTACTGTGTCTCTTTATAGCGCTTCTGTGTTTGTTTCAACTACACATGCGCTGCACACTTGAGAAAAAACACAATCCTGTCCAGCTGATGTGCTGATGCACCAAAAAATACACCTTAGAAAATTTAAGAAGATAACATATTGTGGTCATTGGAAGATACTCAAAATGGTTTATAAAGTTTTTAATATGAATATTTGTCTTACAAAAAAGCCATGGATTTACTAAAGGAGACCTTTAATCACCCCCCGCAGCCATATGAGGCAATTTAGGTTATGGATGAATGTGTTTTATTACACTTCTTTTGGAATGCTGATTAAAAATAAATGACCTTTGCCGTTGAAGAGATGAATAAGGTCAAGATCAAATCACACCAATCGGGATTAAATGAAGTAAGAGGGTGAGTAATTAATTAGATCATTTTTAGGTAAACTAACCCTTTAAGAACAGTGTGGAAAGCCATTCTTAGTACTTAGATATTAAAATGATTGTTATTTACATCAGGTGCAATTAGGCAAAAACAAAAATGAAAATCTGTAAACATCTGCATTTGAGCAATAATACAACATTATGTACAAATATGCATTGCTTTGCAGTCTTTGGACAGTGTTCTGAAGTCTCCTCGTTCTCCTTTTGGGACATCCTTTTAGTTCATCTTGCGTTTTTTTACACAGTCCTTTTTTAAGCTACAGTTGATGCCTACTAAATTTGATCAAGCTCAAAAAATATCTCCCATTAAATCACGAGATGATTCTCAAAAGCGCGAGCACAGTCGATTTTGAGATGCTATGAGGAACTTCACAACACACAGCTCTCAGAGTTCTAATACAAATGCAATCCTCCACATCACAAGAGGGCGACGTAGTATTGATGTGAGATGTTGCTACACTGAGCTCTCATCCGGCTGGATGTCCAACTGTGTGTGTTTCCGCTTTTCAAGAATCCTGTTGAGCTCCTCGGTGAAGGAGTGGTAAAGCGGAGACGTCGTTTCGGAGTCTGCCTGCCCAAGGAGCACGTAGCTGTTACCGTTAATTTTCCTCAGCACGCTGGGTAACGTGGCTGACAGTCCATTTGCATACTCCGAAGCAGGCAGAGGCGGCGGCATTGGAAGGGGCGGGGCAGGTGGAGGTTCCTCGCTGGGCGTAGTCTGGATGTCCAACGGGACGATCTGTAGAAACTCTTCATCTCTCGACATCGCTCTGCTACGCCCTTCTGTTCGGCCATTGCAGTGACTGGAGATTGTTTTGAGCTCAAAGTGTGAACTTCTTTTTCTTTCGGTTGGGGTGGTTATGGAAAGAGCTTGCTGGGAGTACTTGGCATCGAGAGAGTTTTGTGCGCAGAAACTAACGTACAACAGGAGCACCGTTAGAACCAGACAAAGTCCACCAAGCACTGCCACCAGAGAGATATACATGGCCTCCATGTGCTTGTAGGTCTGAAACTCTGGATCAGAAGGTAACGGAGCCGGTGGGGGTGACAGGAGCTGCTCGACAGGACCGCTAGAAGGACTTGGAGTTGGCACAGTTGTAGTAGTAAAAAAACTTTCAGGTAAAGCTGTCGGACTTCCAGAGAGATGTGATGCCGGAGGTGGAACTGGTTGCACTCTCACAATGTAACTGCGAATAGGAACCCAGACGCTATTTTCCACTGCATAACATCGGTAGTGTCCGCTTTGTTGGTTCTGTGCACCGATAATAAGGAGGCCGTCTGTGCCAGTGCGGTAGCCAGAATCTACGCCATAACCCTTCAGTTCTTGACTGTTCAGCGTCCATTGAGGGGTGGCCAGGTTTGATCGAATCTCGCATTGTAGCAGCACATCATCTCCTGCCATCACCGCACGTGTTCGGTGCATGACGAAACCTGGTGAAATGTAGGAAACATTATTATACCGCTTATAAAAGTGCTCAGAAAATTAGTTTTTTTTGCTTGCAAACACACCATCACTTGTGATATTAGAACAGCCTCGTCTTCCCATCTGGATGTCCTGGACGAGACTGGACCTGCGAGAAACACATATTCACAGTTGCTCTTATTAAAGCCATTAATGGGAGCTTGCAGTGGGAGTTGAGATTGGCTTTCACGGGAGAATATTTCAACAGTTGGATAGTAACTTTATTAGGAGAATGGTTTAAAATTGCATTGTAAGAATAATCTCAGCCTTGCTGATGCATGTGTGAAAACTACTTTTATACTAGTGGAAAATCTAGCATTAGAAGTTTGTCTGAGATGCACAAAGGCCCAATCCCAATTCTGTTTTTCTACCCCTTCCCCTTGGCCCTTGAAACAAAGTGTGAAGGGAAAGGGCTTCAAAATGTACAGCACTACAGTAATTTGACACATTATCACGTCATCACAATCTCTTGTTTCATATGAGATTAGACGATTGCATCTGCTGTAGTTATTCCAGTTGCGTTATTTTTTAATATTTATCTTCAGGAAATCACTGAAGGCAACAATATCATGTTATCATAATGATCTAATGTGGCAATAAGATCCTAACTGTACTGCGGCATTTTCACCGTGGCCATATTCATCTATGTAAACACACAAAAACAATATTAACATTATAGCAGACACTGTTTAAAGCTCATTCCCAGACTTTTCTAACACAGTATTCGAGTGTCATCGAGTGTCAGAATGTTGTGGGTCTGCTATACAAGAGTTATTATTATGGATTATAGTTTTTAATTTTAGCGTTTTTTTTTTTAAACAATGATGGTAAAACACGATCGCAGTTATAAATGTATTAAAACATGTGCTTGTTTGTTTTAAAAAATTGTAATTACAAAAAATACTAATTTGTGGATCTTCTTACTTCTGGGTTCAGCAATATCTGCTGTTGTAGATGGTGTATTCTGGAAAATTTGGTTGCGAGTGTGGTCCTGAAAAAGCTCAGTATTAAGGGCTATACAGCCCTTCCCCTTAGCCCTACGCCTTTAAGCTAAGGAGAATTGGGACACAGCTAGCCCTTCATGTGAACGCACAAAATGAGGGGTAGGGGTAAGGACTGCAATTGGGATTGGGCCAAAGTTTCTTAATATTTGTATTGTCAATAATACATGGAGACTGGCTCACAATGGTGGCGTCACAATTTATTTTTAATCATACTGTATGCATGACAAGTTTCATATAATAATAATGCGACATAAAATAATACTGTAAAATAATACTATAAACAAAATAAGACTAGAAACAACACAAAATCAGTTAAATAAAACAAGCTTCTATGCAATTTTATTGTTCAATTAACATTATGCAGAATAAATATATTAAATTAATATTGAAATCTGCAATAAAAATGTATAATGTCGGAAATCTTACTTGATGGGATAGTTAAGTTCAACCAAAATTTTAATTTACCATTTAACTCACTTGCAAGTGTTTTCTAACTGAGTTTTGAACTAAAAAAAAACAGAATTGTAGAAGTATGTGGGGAAACTCTACTTGGAAAAAAGTTGGCTACCTGTTAGCATAAGATGCTATCTCAGCACACATTCTTCCATCCCAGCCACAGAGCGGATCGCGTGCGAACACACAGTCGTAACAGGAGGTGTAGCGTTCACAAGATGACAGAGGAACCTGCACCAGTCCAGAAGCGCCGCTCACATAGATACTGTTCTGTATCACAAAATACACAACCTAAGACCTTTTGGGGATCTATCCATTAAGTGTTTGTCCCTATATCAGGATTTCATGCTGCTTTTGAATATCAGTGGTGTACCTGTTTTTGTGATATCACCATGTTAATGATGGGCTGTTTCTCTTGGAACAGCTGAAGCTCCTCAATGATGTGCACACGGTCTATAATCTTCACAGCTCTTTGTAACCAGCCCTCATCTGGAGAGAAGCACACAAGCCACGAGTCAAGAAAAGAAAGCAAATATACACTGCTGTTCACAACAAATTAAGGGCCAAATTTCCTAACAGCTCGAGGCAGTGAAAATCTTTTTTCTTTGGTACTAAAAACAAAGTACTGTCAGGATTTATTAAAGAAAGAAAAACGGTGAAAATGCACAGACACATATATTTGCAACTGACCTTTTTACATATGCATTTCTAGGAGTTTACCTTTCAGATGCAAAACTGTTTTTTGGTACTGCTCTATCATTTGTTCCATCACTGGTCACTTTATTATCATTATTTAAGGCCCAAAGGAAGGATTGGCAAAGGACCTTGAGCTAGGACTACACACTCACTGGCCACTTTATTAGGTACACCTTACTAGTACTTAGTTGGACCTCCTTTTGCTTTTAGAACTGCCTTAATCCTTCGTGGCATAGATTCAACAAGATACAAGAAATATTCCTCAGAGATTTTGGTCCATGTTGACATGATAGCATCACGCAGTTGCTGCAGATTTATTTCACCTGCACATCCATGATGAGAATCTCCCGTTCCACCACACCCCAAGGTATTCTATTGGATTGACACCTGGTGACTGTGGAGGCCATTTGAGTACAGTGATCTGTTCAAGTACAAGTGTCGTGTTCAAGAAACAGGTCTGAGATGATTCACGCTTTAGGACAAGCGGTGTTATCCTGCGGGAAGTAGCCATCAGAAGATGGACACACTGTGGTCATAAAGAGATCAGCAACAATACTCAGGTAGGCTGTTGTGTTGACATGAAGCTCAATTGGTACTAATGAGCCCAAAGTGTACTAAGAAAATATACCCCACACCATTACACCACCACCAGCAGCCTGAATCGTTGATACAAGGCAGGATGGATCCATGCTTTCTTGTTGTCGACTTCAAATTCTGACCCTACCATCCGAATGTCGCAGCAGAAATCAAGACTCATCAGACCAGGCAATGTTTTTCCAATCTTCTAATGTCCAATTTTGGTGTCACCCGTTGTGGTCTTCTGCCACTGTAGCCCATCCGCCTCAAGGTTGGACATGTTGTGTGTTCAAAGATGCTCTTCTGCATAATTTGGTTGTAACGAGTGGTTATTTGAGTTACTGTTGCGTTTCTATCAGCTCGAACCAGTCTAGCCATTCTCCTCTGACCTTTGTCATCAACAATTCAGGACAATTCTCTGTAAACCCTAGCGATAGTTCTGTGTGAAAATCCCAGTAGATCCACAGATTCTAAAATACTCAGAAAAGCCCGTCTGGCACCAACAACCATGCCATGTTTAAAGTCACTTAAATCACCTAAATGCATTGAGTTTATGCCCTGTGATTGGAAATTTGTGTTAACGAGCATTTGGACAGGTGTACCCAATAAAGTGGTTGTTGAGTATATGTAGGTACACTTAACAAATAGGCTATTGGTGCCAATCTCCCATCTACACTTTTATAATAATGTACTTTCATGCTAATTTGCCATTTTGTATATTTTGGTAAATTTTTAAGATTGCATGAATGTAATCTTTTTTTAACTTTAAATAAATAAATATAATATCCATATTCCATAAAAAATGTGGCCAGTGCAACTGCATTCAACACTGATAATAATAAAAGATTATTGAGTACCAAGTTAGCATATTAAAACAATTTCTAAAAGATATTGTGAGACTGAAAACTGCATTATACCTGACAAGAAATTGCATTTTAAAGTACTTGTGTGTATCAATATAAGGATACTGCAGAATCAATGCACCCATCCCAAAATCATTAAACAGTCATACTAATCCCCCAAGAGTAAATTACAGTAAAAAAATTAAGAAAACCAAAGGATGGTTGGATTTCTAATAAAAAAGCCAATCCTTCGGCACCTGTTCCAATGAAGAGCATGTCATAGGTCCGTCCGTCCAAACCCTCAACCTGTTGAACAATGATTTTAGTGTAATCTGCAGCTTTCTGGAGCAAAAGTGGACGTCCTTCCACCGGCTGGATCTGGGTGGACATTAAAGGGTGTCTCCGAACAAAATTCAGAGTGTTGTCAGGCAGATCCCGAGAGGAATTTATGAGCTTGCCACGATGCTCATCAGTTATACACTGAAAAGAAACAAGGCCACCATTACATAACATTCCCCAGAGAGTGTAAATAGAAACCATGCTACACTTCAATGCAAGGTTTTAAAGGGGACAGTTTATGGGACTGTTTTGATTTAGAGCATCTCACCGAACCAGGTCGTGGATCCGGAACTTTCCCAGTGTATTCCCTCCATTTGGAGTCCTGAAGTTCCATGAATGGCCCATTAAAAGCTGTCTGGATGTCTTTGAGGGAATACCGACACACTGCAGACATCTTAACGTTTCTCCTGGCAGTGTGAAAGAAAAAAGATTAATGGAAACCTCCTAGTTTAATATGAATTATGTTCTGTGTACAGTATCTGCTAGCAATTCTCATGTTATTGCTCCCTAAAAGACAATTTACACAAAAATCGAAATGAATCTCCTACTGCCCTATGACTTTTTTCATTTTGGACCACACAAATATAAATGTACACGTATATAAAAACATAAATGGGTTTAAGTTTATGTAGGATATATATATATATATATATATATATATATATATAATTTGTTTACTTTAGTAACTAGTTTAAGTGTCCAGAATTTTAAATTGCTTGGATGTGCAAAACAGATTCAGTGTTTCAATGTCTGATTAGTAGGGATTTGCGGACGCTACTGGACCAATTTCCACTTTTGGATGTTATTGGACCACATTTGAACATTAGTGGACCTCTTTTGGATGCTAGTGGACAACTATCACACATTAGTGGACCACTTTCAGAAGTTAGTGAACCATTTTCGGACATTATTGGATGTGCAAAACAGGTTTATTGTCTCAATGTCTGATTAGTAGGGACCAATTTCAGACATCAGTGCACTTCTTTTAGACATCAGTCGTTCACTTTTGAACGTTAGTAAACCACTTGGGACGATAGTGGACCACTGTCTCACATTAGTGATTCACTTTTGGACATTAGTGGACCACTTAGGGACATCATTGGATATGCAAAACAGGTTCAGTGTCTCACTGTCTGATTAGTAGAGATAAATTTCAAACATCAGTGGAGTGGACCACTGTCAGATGTCAGTAGACTACTTTTGGATGTTAGTGGACCAATTTTGAACATCAGAGCACCTCTTCAGACCTCACTGGAACACTTTAGGATGTTAGTAGACGTCTTTGGGAAGCTAGTGGACCAATATCACACATTAGTGGACCACTTTCGGACATCATTGGATATGCAAAACAGGTTCGCTGTCTCAATGTCTGATTAGTAGGGACCAATTTCGGACATCAGTGCAACTTTTTCAGACATCAGTCGTCCACTTTTGAATGTTAGTGGACCACTTTTGAACGTTAGTGGACCTTTTTGGGAGGCTAGTGGACCACTATCGCATATAAGTGGACCACTTTCCGAATTTAGTGGACCACTTTCAGACATCATTGGATATGCAAAACAGGTTCAATGTCTCAATATCTAATTAGACCAATTTCAAACATTAGTGGACCTCTTTCAGACATCAATGGACCTTTTTCAGGCATCAGTGGATGTGCAAAACTGGGTCAGTGTCTCAAAGTCTGATTAGAAGGGCCATGTTCTGACATTATTAGCTGTGCAAAACAGCTGCAGTGTCTCAATGTCTGATTAGTAGGGAGAAGAGATGGCAAAAGTACACACATTTTTTACTTAAGTAGAAGTATAAATACTCATGTTTAAAACGACAACCTGTGCACATGCCCTTTTTAGTCTTGGATAGGAAGTGCCCTTCCAAAATTTACATTTACATTTACATTTAGTCATTTAGCAGACGCTTTTATCCAAAAAATGATCTGAAATGCTTCATCCTGCACGTGCCCATTGGAAAGTCTCTGAACGGGACTGCTAGTAAAAGTTAAAGTGCTGATTACACTTTGGTACTTAAGTTAAAGTAAAGAAGTAAGGCCTCAAAAATGTACTTAAGTAAAAAGTACCCATTACTACATGTTTTAGTTTCACTAGGTAGGTATATCTGGTTTCCCTTCATGTATCATCATCCTGAAGCAAACTCACAGTGTTCATCATTTAGTTTTGCGGCTGTTGTATCAAAAACAACAGCTGCCATGTTCATACAAATAATGTCTTACATTTTACACTGAATTCTCTCCAAAATATATTAAATTGTTTAAATTTTATGTTAGAGTTTTTAAAAATATATTTTAAAAGCATTTTCTTTTGCTAAAATAAATATTTATCGTATTTGACTGCAAACTATTTTATATTCAGCAGCTCTCATACACAATTCGTTATTTTAGTGTTTTTTCCAGGGTATTGTGGGTATTTTATTTAATGAATAAACATTAATTCTGTTAATACATTTACTCTATGCTAAAAGCTACATACACAGGCATGACTACAACCTAAAAAAATATGTGCATGATATTTTATTCACATGATAAAGTAACACTTTATTTTGATGGTCCATTTGAGTATTACTAGTTTGACTGCTTAATATCGGTTGATACTGACATTTAACAGTCCTTCAACAGACATTTAACTGAGTACATATCAACTTACACACCCCAACCCCAACCTAACAGTCTACTTGTAATCAAATGAGAATGAGTTGCAATGTAACTTAAATTCAACAAACGGGCCATCAAAATAAAGTGTGACCCATGATAAATTCAGGATCTTTTGCATTATATTTTTATTCATGAATTGTACATTGTAAAACATTTGTTAAAACTGAAGATTAAAGATTAATATGCCTATACGTAAAATCATATATTGAAATAAAAAAAATCCATAAAAACTGTTAAACAGCACAAATTCTGTATTAGGAAACATGAACTCATTGGAAATGAAGGAAATTTTAATGTTTTTATAAAGTATTTGATTGTTTTAGTAGTAAATGTAAAAATCTTTTCATCGTATTAGATTGAAAGATTGAAAAACCAGAAAAATCCTGTGCAGTATGATTGGAAGTGGACAAAAGACTCTTAACCTTAATCATTTGTAGGTATACTTTTAAACTGGATTGTGTTTCTTGTTAACCTGTGATCCGATCAAGCAAAATGTGTCTTATTACTGTAAGACATATTATTGTAAACAGGGCAGGATCAGTGAAATTTGCCATCTCCCTGTCTTATCTGCGTAGTTATCCTTGCCTTGCCAAGTAATCTTCATAAAATAGCCTACATAAGGAGAGTGATAGCCTTGGTTGGAAAAGTCACGCGCTACAGCACGCAGGTGCGCAAAGACCAAAAACAGAATGACTGCATCAAAAAAATCGCTTAAATTGTGCAATGACAAGAAATAATATAGATCGCGCAACAAACACATGAAAACTAAAGTAACGAGCCTGATTTTAAAAAAATGTAAGGAGTAGAAAGTACTGATATTTGTGTAAAAATGTAAGGAGTAAAAGTTATAAATAAATAGTGGAGTAAAGTACTGACCCCAGAAAAATCTACTTAAGTACAGTGACAAAGTATTTTTACTTCATTACTTGCCATCTCTAATAGGGAGCAATTCGGATGTTAGTGGACCCCTTTGGAACGTTAGTGGACCACTATCACATATTAGTGGACCACTTTCAGACATCATTGGATGTTCAAAACAGGTCCAGAGTCTCAATGTCTCAATAATAGGGACTAATTTTGGACATCAATGGAACACTTTCAGATGTCAGTGGACTACATTCAGATATAAGTGGACCAGTTTTGGACATCAGTGGACCACTTTCAGATGTCAGTGGACTACTTTCGGACATTAGTGAACAAATTTCAGACATCAGTGGATGCCAGTGTTTTGCAAGTGTCTGCTCTGTGGGTTCTTCCACTTTTATACATTTTACTGTTTGAGTAATTCAAATACTTAGTCCAAATAATTAACTATGGTATCAACAGAATCTTGAATCAATTTAAATCAATAATTAATAAACTTTTAAAATAATTCTAGAGCAAATAAAAATAGAGATTATTATGCTGAGTGCCAGTGACACTCTCATGGAACTGCAGCACTGTTGAGAATCCACATTATGCTGTTGGGCAAACTGTGTGAATTATTTACTAGGCTGTTTGTGTGTAGAGGATGAAGAAGTCAAACTGTCATATTTCAAGTGGTGCTGTCTAAACTTAAAATCCCTGAATGTGTATCTTTATGGAGAAAGGTAAAGTGTAAAACTCACTCAAGCACAGAAACAAAGCCATTGCGCTTCTTTACACTGACAAACATAATGCTAAAAATCCTCATAATGAAATTGTGATGTTATAACCCCCTTCAGGCCGCTAAACATTTGCCACTCAGTGCTCTGTCCTGTTTACTACCTAGAATCAAGCTTTATAGGAGAAGTTTAATCCCCAACCAGTCCCATTTGAAGGACAATTTAATGTGGCATGTCTGTGCATACTCTTCTCTTGATTCTGCCAATTCAAATACTGGCCCAGTGCCCTGTGTCCTATTGTGAGTGTCCCTGTTATAGTAAGGAAAGCACAGAGGAATATTTAGAGATGGGTTTACATGCTAAAATGCTTCAGAGAAGGAGGATAAAAGGGTCACATGCTAGCAGATTAATGCTGCTTCTGTTCACATCACATTTAATGAGACTGCAGCACCTCTCACCCACTTAAAAACATTTCAGCCCTCTAAAACTAAAGCCTCGGAAAGTCAATGTAGTGCCAAAGTTAAAACCTTAAGTGATTATATTGCACTTTGACTACTTTGAGTAAGCTTAAAGAAAAACAGTTGAAACTAGAATGTGAAAAATTTAGCAGAACTCTATCAGTCATTTAAAGAGTCAATCCATCATTTAATATAGTAAACATCCATCCATCGATCCACATCCACATTTTATGTACATTTTATAGTATCCATCAGTTCATCAATAAATGCATCATTCAAAGCATCCATTCCACTTATCCTTATATCTGTTTATAGTATCCATTTATCCACCTCTTCACCCATCAATCATTCATTAATCCATAACGGCATCCATCAATTATAGTATTTAAATAGCCATTCTTTACAGCAACCATCCGTTTGTCCTCCTATACTGTACATCCAACTATCAATCTTGTGATGGTATACAGTCACTTTAGACATTTTTATTATACTATCCATTCATTTATAGTATCTATCCTTTCATTCATCCACACATTTACAGCAACTGTCAAAGTCTATATCCATCCATCAATTTTTATAGTATATTTCAGTCAATCCATACAATACATAAATCCATCCATCCATCCATCCATCCATCCATCCATCATTTAAATTATCCTTCCATTGCCTGCAGAAAACATCTGTCCATCTATTTATCTGTCACTTGTTTAAATTTAGTCACGCATCCATCCATCTATCCATCCATCCATCAGTCCATTCATACATTCATCAATTCATCTATCTGTTCATTCATGCATTTATCTATCCATCGATCCATCCATCGATCCATCCATCCATCCGTTCATCCATTCATCTGTCTGTCCATCCATCCATCCATCCATCCATCCATCCATCCATCCATCCATCCATCTGTCTATTCATCCATCCATCTATCTGTCAATTCATCTGTCCATTCATTCACCCATCCATCCATCCATTCATTCATCCATCCATCCATCTGTCCATCCGTCCATCCATCGATCCGTCCGCCTGTCCGCCCGCCCGCCCGTCCATCCATCCATCCTTCCAGTCATCTGTCCATTCATCAATTAATTTATCCATCTATCCGTCCATTCCTTCATCCTTATATCCATCAATCTATTTGTTCATCCATCCATCTGTCCATACATTTGACCATTCATCCATCCATCCATTTATCCATCCATCCGTCCATTTACCTATCCCTACATCCACCCATTCATCTATCCATCTATCCATCTGTCCATTCATCCATCTATTCATCCTTCCGTCCATTCATTCATCCATCCATCTGTCCAGTCATCAGTCCATTCATCCATCCATCCATCCATCCATCCATCCATCCATCCATCCATCCATCCGTCCATTCATCCGCCCATTCATCAATCCATCCATTCATCTGTCCATTCATCCATCTATTCATCCTTCCGTCCATTCATCCATCCATCCATCCATCCATCCATCCATCCATCCATCTGTCCAGTCGTCAGTCCATTCATCCATCCATCCATCCATCCATCCATCCATCTATCCATCCTTCCATCCATCCATTTATCCATGCGTCCAGTCATCCGTCTATTCATCCATGCGTCCATTCACATTCATCAAATTGTCCATTCATTCTCCCATCTATCCAACAATCCATCTCTCTATTCAAATTCAATAAATTACCATTACAATTCTGCATCCTGTCAGCTAACTTTGTTCAAATATAGGAGCTAAATTGAATCTTAAAGGTACAGTTCAACCAAAAATGAGAATTCTGTCATTAATAACTCATTCTCCACTTCAAAATATGTTTAAGTTTCTTTCTTCTGTTAAACGCAAAATAAGACATATTGAAAAATGTTGGAAGGAAACAGTCATTGATTTCCGTAGTAGTTTCTGTTTCTACTATGAATGTCATTGGCTTCTGGTTTCCAGCATTCTTCAATATACCTTCTTAGTTATACACTAAATAACAAGATATTATTGTGTTCAACAGAAGAAGGAAACTTCAAAAAATACTTAAGTTTGAGTAAATAGTGAGAAAACTTTCATTTTTGGGTGTACTATCCCTTTAAAGTACACATGAAATTGAAACTAACCATTAGTTGGTCAATTTGTTAGCTCACATTGCAAGCTTCGTGGCGAACAATTCATCTGTGCATGTCATTAAAGGGGTGGTCCACAGTGTATTTTTAAGGCTTGATTGTGTTTATATGATGTGTGCATGTGCTCATGCTTTATTTGTAGAAAATAAATTATTTATTTGCTGTAATTTGCGGATTGGCTCCACGTCACCATGTCACGCCCCTACAAGCACAGGCTTTTGTGCTGTGTAAACAATGTTGGCAGAGCCACTGTTAGCAGAGTTAGCTGCCTGAATCAGACAGGAAATGAAGAGGACACAGCTGAACCTCATGCCAGCTCTCTAAAATAAAATCTGACAGGTGTCTTTCACATATGTTCGAATAATAAACATGTGTAAGTAATATAAAACATTCGTATATCTTTTGCGAGTTGGTTATTTAAGATGTAGAATCCAGGAAAAGCGTCTGCATAGAGAGACACTGCACACGCTGCTGAAGATTGTGGCTGTTTACAGCGGTTTGACTGATAAATATGTAGCTAAATTGTTGGCTGTGCCAAACAGCATTTCCCACTGTTTAATCCTTGTTTAAGTCCTTGCTACAACATACCGTTACCGCTAGAATCTGTGCATGTAATTGATCAATGTTAACAAATAAAAATACTTACAGGTTGTGGCTCACAATACACAGCCTCTGCTATTATCGTTGAAACTGCTCCTTCTTTAAGGAGTTTTTAGCTGAATCCAGCACTGAACTGGGACAGATTCTGTGTCTATGTCAAATGCTAGCTATATATTTTTTATAATTCTCTGGAACATAATTAAATTGTAAGCACTTCTCTCTTTGTGTAGTGTCCTTTGGAAGCCCAAATACGAAACAGAAGAAGCTCTGTGGAAATAGCAGTGTTTGGATGCCATTGTAGCGTTCTCTGCTATAACATTATAGAGCTTCTGGCCACGCCTCTTTGCTGTGTGGGGGGTGTGCGCAGAGTGAATTTTGCTTAGCCAGAAGCCCTCACTCACCTGAACGCATTTTTTTTGTAGTCTCCAAATTCGTTTACTGTAGGCTTTGCTAGGCTAACTCTGTAAAAGCCAATGGCTGCTCCCAATTCCTAGAACGCAGATCGCAAGATCGCTAAAGAACGCATATTGAGAAACAGCCAGAGCCTCCTTTTGCATTGAACCTTCATCGTCTTACATTCAGAGGTGTTGTTTATTTTCACACAGCTACATTACACATCAACTAAAGTTTAAAATATGATAGAGTGGACCACCCCTTTAAGAAAAAAATAGTTTGTCTTTGTAGCGTGCTTTTGTAATAACAAATTTACATTTAAAAAAATGCACTTCCTGTTTGTTTTCAGTAAATTCTCAGAGTAGAACCAAAGAGTTTAGAATGACCAAGAGGCGACACTCAATAGAACGTTCCATTGCAACAGCAGCGCCTGGCAACAGCCCTGGATTTCGCCATTTTGGAGTGAAAGTGATCGGCCATCCATTGGATCTAATTACTGTCGCGATGGCAAGCAGCTGCTTTGTTTTTTATTTATTTATTTAAAAAGCGCATTAAAGCTGGCATACAACCTGAAAGACGACAATACAACACTTACTATCACAATCATCAGCACTTTTAATAGTTTATTTTACAGACTTATAATACGCTGTAGTTCTATTGGAGTTTTCATTTCAAAATGGCCACCACACCCTCTAGTGGCTGTTTCCCACTAGAGTGTCGCCTCTTGGTCATTCTAAGCTCTTTGATAGAACTGTCTGAGGTATTGGGCGTGGCTTACATACTTAATCACACCTCTCCAACTGTCAGTTTTGACAACAATCAGAAACAGTAAGGAGGAGGTGTCTGTTAGGTTGTAATAACATCTAAAACCTGTTTCCCGATCATTCTGATTAAATTGCCTTCTTTACTACATCCAATCAACATGCAGTATAAAAAAACGAGCCACACCCACTGTTTTCTCATTTAATATTCCGTTTCTCTAAGAACTACGTCAAAATATGGAAAAAAATGGTCAGAGCTTCCACTTCATGTGCACTTCTGGTTCATGCAAGGCATTCTCAACTAGTTCTTGAATTACACAAAACCTGTCAAATTCTTATGTCAATTCGCTTACCACTCAAGTCCAAAAATGCCATAAAAGACACTGTCATGCACGTTGCTTCCCTCAACGACAAACACACTGCGCAGAACGTTGAACTGAAGCTCGTAATCAGGGATGGCGCAGACCAGCCTGGCCTTGAGAAAGGACGTCCACTTCCTCTGAAGAGTCCTCTGGCCTCCAATGTCCCCCTGTGAACCACAAACATAATATGAAAAAACAGAGCAAATTACATTTAAAAGCACTTTAATACCCTCAACAGAGCAGCAGGAATAACACAACATTCACATGCATTATGCATAGTCTACAGCTGCGTGAAAGTCATCTCCTCAGGGGCACAACAAGCCACTCAAGACTGGATATTAAAAACATATTAACAAATTACGAACTTAATAATGAATAATGAGTTACAATGACAAACTTGAACAGTAGTTTGTAGAAAAACTTTACAGTGTCTTGAGAAAGCCTCGTGTGAATGTTTGAAGTAGCTTTAAAAGTTTGAAGCAGTTGCCATAGACAGATAGGTACATATATGTTAGCAGGTTTCTAGTATGGATTGGCATGTTTCTTGCTAGGCGATTGATAGGGGGTTGTGAGTGGTTGCTAAGGCGTTGCTAGGGTGTTTTGGTGTTGGTTGTTTAGGTGTTGCTGGGCAGTTGCTAAAGTGTTCCAAGTGGTTAAAAGGCAGTTGCTAAGGTGTTCCTAGGTGGTTCTAGGTGGTTGTTAAGGTGTTGCTAGGCAGTTGCAAGTTGTTGCTATGAGGTTGCTAGGTTGTTGTGAGTAGCTGCTACGGCATTGGTAGGGTGTTTTAGGTTGCTAAGGTGTTGCTAGGTGGTTTTGAGTGGTTGCTGAGGCATTGCTAGGGTGTTCTAGGTGGTTGCTAAGGGACTGCTAGGCAGTTTCTAGGGTGTTCAGAGTGGTTGCTAAGGTGTTGCTGCATGGTTGCTAGTGTATTAGGTGGTTGCTATGGTGTTCTAAGTCATTGCTAGGTGGTTGCTAAGATGTTCTGAGATGTTGCTAGGCTGCTGCTTAGATGTTGCTAGGTGGTTGTTAAGGTGTTGCTAGTTAGTTGCTAAAGTGTTCCAGGTCATTGCTAAGGTGTTGCTAAGTGGTTGCTTGGGTGTTCTGAGTGGTTGCTAGGCATTTGCTAAGGTGTTGCTCGGTTATTGCTAAAGTGTTACTAGGTGGTTGCTAAGCCATTGCTAGGTGGTTGCTAAGGTGTTGCTAGGTGTGTGCTAAGGTGTTGCTAGGTGGTTGCTAAGGTGTTCTAGGTTGTTGCTAGGTGGTTGCTAAAGTTATCTAAGTGGTTGCTAAGGCATTGCTAGGTGGTTGCTAGTGTGTTCTCAGTGGTTGCTTGGTCGTTGCTAAGGTGTTGCTAGGTGGGTGCTAGGGTGTTCTGAGAGGTTACTAAGGCATTGATAAGTGGCTGCTAAGGTGTTGGAAGGTGGTTGCTAAGGTTTTCTAGGTCATTGCTAAGGTGTTCTGACTTGTTGCTAGACAGTTGCTAAGGCATTGCTATATGTGGTTGCTAGGTTGTTCTGAGTGGTTGTTAAGGCTTTGCTATGTGTTACTAAGGTGTTGCTGGACGGTTGCTTGGATGTTTTAAGGTGATACTAGGCATTTGTTAAGGTCAGTGGCGTAGCGGACGAGCCCGTGTGACCAGGGGGTGCCGCGTCGAACAATTTCAATTTCAGATAGCTCTCTTAAGCTTTTCAGTTTCAGATCGCTCCAACTGTCTTTCTTAAGCCACCATAATTATAAATCTGTAGCTCTTGCATCAGACTGCAAATGCCAAATCACATGCACACAGAAAATTTTTTTTAAATGTTGATAATCTGGTTTATTTCAACCTGCCCAAGGATTTTTGCATAATTCACATTTACCCTAGAGAGTAGTTCACATCCAAACACACCGAGCACCAGCATGTGAGACTCTGCTGGATTAAATATTCAGCTCTAAATGACACAGTTGTGGGCACAAAAAGCTGTCCTAAATGTGCTAACAGCTTTCGGCTTGAAAACAGGCTCCATCAGGCTTTAGCAGGAGCACGAGGACCTTCAGGCTAATCGAGGTGTCAGTTCACATACAGTCAAGAAGAATAAAAAACAGAACTGAGATGCTAAAATACAAAGCGATGAAAAGAAATAGATCCTTTTGTACAGTTTCATCATAACAAAAGTTTCCAGCAACAGCATCACATGATCCAAGTACACAGATTGTTTCACTGAAAATGGCAGAAAACTCTAACTCATGATCATTTTAACTATTGTTCTTTTCACTGCAATTGGACTTGCACACCACACTACCTGACAAAAGTCTTGTCATTGATCCCAGTTGTGGGAGCAACAAATCATAACTTGGCTTTTAGTTGATCATTTAAAAAAGTGGCAGAAGGTGGATTTTTCTGATGAATCATCAGAATTCAACTGCATCCCAATCATCACAAACACTGCAGAAGACCTATTGGAACCCGCATGGACCCAAGATTCTCACAGAAACCAGTCAGGTTTGGTAAAGGAAAAATCATCGAGATCTGCAGAGTGAATGGCAACATCAACAGCCTGAGGTGTCAAGACATTTGTGCTGCTCATTACATTACAAACCAGTGCTAGCATTTAGAGCGAGGGAATAAAAGCTGATGTGGTACAGACTTTGTTGTTGTATTAGAGATAAGTTAAATTGATCACATATTATATATATATATATTATATACATAATGCTTTTAGTATATTATAACAGCTCATCACCCAGTGATAAGTACAGTTATTAGGCAAAATTAACGTAAAAGTGAGTGGCGTTCATCTGACAGGTGCATTTGCTATAGCACCCACCCAATGGATACAGGATAAGACGAAATGACCAAGCATCCAGCCCGAAATATACAATCTCATAGAAGCTCCAAGTGATTTTACAAGAGAGAAGTTAAAGGCCAACAAGTCTTTGGATGCCAACAATGTTGTTCTGTGTGGTCATGTGCAGGAAACAATGTTCCATGATTACCAGATTCAAAACTTTGAAGTGCTAAAAACCGAGGTTCTACCTAGCCAAAGAGGAAGGAAGATGGAACTGTACAAGGACTAAGTAATCATCAACAAGCAAAACAACTGCATTCTGACAGTGAACTGCACCTGTACGGCAGGGTATTTGAACTTACATTTTTACATTTCATTCATAGCATTCGGTGTCTGCAGTTTAATTAACCATGTTTAACTGTTTTTGCTGAAATCATTGCTGCAATCAGAAATGAGTAATGTGTATGATTCAGCATAGCGTGAACATACCTGATATGAAATTTCTATTTTATTCTTATTTTTATTCGCTAATTTTTTTTTTTTTTGCAACCAGTAAGAGCAATTAAACTCATGTGACATCATGTGTGACGTAGGTTGGTAATTCTCCTATCCGTGAATTGGGCAAGCAAAATTGTCTGTAGTGTATGCGTGTATGTCCTGGTCCTCCAGGTTGGGCACTGCGCATTGGGCTATTGACCCATTTCATAAAAAAAATTTATATGTTATAAAACACCAACATGGTGCGGTTAAATATCAACTTCGATACATAAATGGCCCTGGTAGTAAGTAAGAAAAATAAACAACAGTAGTTGTTAATCTTTTGGGAAGTATTGCGAAACTTTGTACCATCAGGGTGTCACGGTGGAGCAGTGGGTAGCACAATCGACTCACAGTAAGAAGGTCGCTGGTTCGACCCCTGGCTAGGTCAGTTGGCATTTCTGTGTGGAACTTGCATGTTCTTCCCGTGTTCGTGTGGGTTTCCTCCGGGTGCTCCGGTTTCCCCCACATGACAAGACATGCGCTATAGGTAAAAAGCTAAATTGGCCGTAGTGTATGTGTGTGAATGGGAGTGTATGGATGTTTTACAGTGATGGGTTGCAGCTGGAAGGGCATCCGCTGTGTAAAACATGTGCTGGATAAGTTGGCGGTTCATTCCGCTGTGGCAACCCCAGATTATTAAATCGACTAAGCCAAAAAGAAAGAATGAACGAATGAAGTTGACAATTCTGCGGCGACCGCTGATTAAGCAGAAAAGAAAACGGATGAATGGAATATATATATATGTGTGTGTGTGTGTATTTGCACTAGTACATGTGTGTAATCTGGCATGTTGTCGTGTATGTGAGTGTAGTGTGGCCTACTTTGGACCGGAGCTTCCTTAACTCAGTAAGTCAAACAGTAAGGGACCTGACCTGCTTCCCAGAGCCATGAAGTGTTCACTGCAGAGTGAATGCAGGCATGAAATAAATGACGCTATAACAGTGAGGGGAAACTGTTGGGTGGTTTATCCAAGCACAATGAAGACGCTAAATGAGATGAGAGTAATGCAGGTGGGAGAGCGTGTGGGAGAAAAGCATGGGAGCCAGAAAGAGAGAGAGAGAGAGAGAGAGAGAGAGAGAGAGAGAGATAGTTTGGGTAGTGGGGTTTATCTGCCCGGCAACAGAGGCAAAACCAACAACATTGAGAATCGTAGTGTTTGATCAGGTCAAGTTGATATTGTTATGGAGCTCTAAATACGTTTAGCTCATTTACGACTATAACCGCCAGGGGTCACTGTACAGCTAAAACTGCCAGTGGGTAAAAGCATCCGACCACTGTTTTGATATATCGCTAAAAATGTGTTACGTCACTGTATTATGCCACTGTCTTCACAAAGTAACGTCACGAAGTTAATATTTTTAATCCTTAACTATGCTAAGGCAATCAGGACACAACACTTATAATAACAAAACATCACACTTAAGGCATTTACTGCTTCTAATAACCCGATTCACATTTGATTTTTAGTAAATATCAATACATGAGAGACTTTTTAATATCTTATTGAAAATCAGTTTGAATAACAGCCATGAGTAAAAGCAAAAAAAACACTTGTCAACATTTTATCTTCATGAGCTCTGGAAAGCCTTCTGGAAAATGTAAGTAGGCTATGTGATGCAACAGTCAAATTTAGAAATAGCTTCTTTCTGCAGGCCATTCGCAAACTCAATTCACATTAAAGTAGCCTAGTGTAGTTTTAAAAAGTAGTTCACTTCCAGAATGAAGACTTGTTGTCATTATTTACTCACCCTCCACTTCTTCTAAACCTTTTATTTTTCTGTTGAACACAATTGAATACAGTTGAGGAGCATCATTTAATCAATAGTAGGGGAATAATGTTATAGAAGACCGAGTGACCAGCAGTGAACGTTATGTGGACATCCTCTGAGTGACTGGCCGTGACATTATGAAGGGAACATTATGCAGACTCAAGCCAACTGTTTGGATATTTTTGAAGGTTTTTGAAAGAAGTCCTTCTTGCTTACCAAGGCTAGATTTATCTGATCAAAAATAAAATAAAGGCAGTAGTTAATATTTGGAAAATATTACAATATCTGTAAACACAATGTCTATCAGGGCTCTAGATCTACCAGTGCTGAATACATTTTTTCTCACATAAATTGACGCAATCACAATGGTATGAACCATTATAGAGGTGGTCAAATGGATATTATATATTATATAATTTTAATGAATAATATCATAATTTAAGGGGTGACATGGTGGCTCAGTGGTTAGCACTATCGCCTCACAGCAAAAAGGTTGCAGGTTCGAGCCCTAGGTGAGTTGGTGTTTCTGTGTGGAGTTTGCATGTTCTCCCCATGTTTACGTGGGTTTCCTCCGGGTGCTCCGGGTTTCCCCCCACAGACCAAAGACATGCGCTATACTGTAGGTAAATTGAATAAGCCAAATTGGCCATAGTGCAGTGGTGTCCAAACTCAGTCCTGGAGGGCCGGTGTCCTGCATATTTTAGTTCCATCCCCAATTAAACACACCTGAACCAGCTAATCAAGCTCTTTCTAGGTATATTAGGCTTCCAGGCATGTGTGTTGGAGGAAGTTGGAGCTAAACTCTGCAGGACACCAGCCTTTCAGGACTGAGTTTGGACATCTCTGCCGTGGTGTATGAATGTGAATGTAAGAGTGTGTGAGTGTTTCCTAATTACTGGGTTGTGGCTGGAAGGGCATCTCCTGCATAAAACATGTGCTGGATAAGTAGGTGGTTCATTCCACTGTGATTAATAAAGGGACTAAGCTGAAGGAAAATGAATGAATGAATGAATTATTATTTAAGATACAGATACAAACAGATACACCCCCACACATCTGATGTCCTTCAGAGAGGATCAAGCATTAGTTGGGGGGTCAATCCCCCAAACCCCCCCCCTTTAATTCGAACCCTGATTACCACACCTTTCTGTTTTAAAATGTTTTATAAAGTAATTTATTTCTGCAGTTTAACATAATTGCAATATTAATTGTTGCTCAGGAAACTTTTCTCATTATCATCAATGTTGAAATTAGTTGTGCTGCTAAATGTTTTTGTGAAAATCATCACATAAAAGTAGCATTCAAATATTATTCTTTTAAAACATACATTGTTATACTGCAAAGACCGAAAGGGACAGTTCAAAACAACAGACAAAATATTTTATTTTAATTAAATGCTGTTATCTTCATATTAATGTTTATAAAGGTACCCGGAAAAGACTGAATATCGATTTCCACAAATGTTTTCAACATTGACAGTCAGAATGTGTTCTGAGGAACCGCCTGTGATGTTATGAAGGGAACGTTGTGTGGACGTCCTCTTAGTGAATGACTGAGCACTAATAATATTTGACCCTAAAAGGCAGCAAACAGAATGATATCTGAGAGATCATGTGACGCAATGAAGACTGGAATAATGATATTGGTAATATAAATTATGTATTTATGTTTGGATTATGATGCACATTGAGTGTGCTTGGAAAAACTTTATTCTGTTGTGCACTTTGACTAGAATGACAATAAAGTACTGAACAATATGTCTCTTACTTTACACACACGGGCCACTCTGGCCACTTTGGTTTGGATGGAATAAGCCGTCGGTTCTGTGTTCCTCTCCGTGAAGAAGAAGTAGAGTTTGTCATCGTCCCCGATGGAGCTGTTGATGCTCTCTCTGAGTAACGCTGAGCCCACAAAATCGGACTCTACAAGACAGAACATCAGCATTAGTTGCTGCCTTCACCACAACGGACCAATTATGAGCCCTACAGATCTTCCTGTGTCTCTGAGAAGGTTCAGAGTACACTGTTTATTGATTAAAATATTGTGACTCTTGTGGGAAATGTTCCTTTTAATATGAATTCTTCCTTTTTATTAAACGTAAACATATGTATTGATTTAGTATTCTAAGGTATTTCTTAATAAGCAATCAGATGTTGCTGTTTTTTTGCCTGACAGATGATACAGCAAGAAAAAAACATTAATAAAAAGGCCAAAAGATCCTATATATTCACAAGTAAGTATTTTTTGAAATATGTACAAAACACTTGAGCAGCGTTTTAATATTAGTAAGTGTACTAAAGTCAACCCACTGCTAGATGAGCTAAACATGCCATAAATATTACAGCAATGTGAAAAAAGGATCCTATAATAGCATTGTGGATGTTTGCATGAGCTCTGCAATTCAGCACTTCTGTCAACTCACGTTTGGCATGTTGGCACTATAAGGGTGATGAGATGTCCTTTTTTTCCGGGACAGTCCTGTATATCAGCTCTATAATTAGTTTCCTCACTTGTTAAGAATAAAATCAGGCTTTGTCCTATATTTCACTTTTACTAAAAATATGACACTCAAAATTCTAAATTCTGAGTGCTGGTAGTCTTCTGTCAAATGAAAACAGCCTAGTCAAGCAAAATCAACCAATCATGGTACATTTTTTTTTAGGTTCATTACAGTTATCATTATTATTCCTGCTTCGAACAGATCTTTAAATGAAAGAGATTTGCTGGGCATGATGACAAGACATATATATGGTCCCACTTTGTATTAAGTGGCCTTAACTAATATGTACTTACACAGGAATTAATAAGTTGTTACAATGTTATTATTGTGTAAATACATGTATTTACTGTGTACTTAAGCTTGATTGAATTCCTGTATTTAATTACATCTGCAATTAACTTCTGTAATTACATTTGTAAATACACTGTTGACCATCCCTTACACCTTAACCCATACTTAAACCTACCCATACCACCAAACCTGTTCACAACCCAACCCCTATCTCAACTCAAGAGCACCAAGTGTTCTCAAATACATTATGAACACAGTAAGTACAATGTACGTAAGTACATTTTTGATGCAAGCAGTTAAGGACACTTAATATAAAGTGGGATCATATATATATATATATATATATATATATATATATATATATATATGTATATATATATATATATATATATATATACACACACACACACACATAATATACACATACATACATATATATTTATATATGTATGTATGTATGTATGTATGTATGTATTTATGTATGTATGTATGTATGGGTGTATGATATATAATATATATTGTATGGGTGAATTAAAAAGTATTGTTTCATATTATGCTCGATTCTTTATCATGATTATTATTCCTTATGATTATTTTTTTTGTGGTGTCGCAAAATACATTGTTTATGGTAATACTTTTCATCATTTCGATGAATGCAATCTTCCATGCCACCACAGGGATGCAGAAAGAATCCTAAATAACAGCATTGTGAGAAAGTTACAGGCTAGAAAGTAAAATATCTACTTTTGCATTTTATTGAGCAATGTTTTATGTTAGACCAGTAATAATTAGTATTTGAAAAGTGTTTTATATTTCTACATTCTTAATCAAACATTTGCCATACATTTCTAAATAAACTAAGAAAAATAATTAGTACACTTTTGAGTATATACTTTAAAATGTAAAAAAGTAAACAGTAATTTCCATGTGGTCAATATATATAAACTATAAATAGTTTGAATACAAAGAAAAGGTCTTATATCGTGATATACAGAAGTCAAGATTTGAAATGGATCAAAAATCTTTAATCAAAGTTGTCCTAAAACCAAGAACAATACACGTTCTTGTTTTGGGACATCTTTGATCAACTTTTATGATCCACAATATGTTGACAATATCATTATTAGCATATGAGATGACTTGTATTGTGTATTAGGGCTTTGCGATTAATTGAAATTGAATCTTTCACAGTAAGAGCTTATCGCAAGAGGCTGCGATATGGAGTATATATGTAATATTTCCCCAACCCAGAGCAAATGCGTGACCGCCGTCTGTGTGTGACACTCTTACTAGCCAATTGAGTGAGCTCACTTTCATTCTGCCCAATCAGAACTTTTCAATATGCCTCTGAGCAGTCATTTTAGTTTAGTATTTTTATAATTATTATTCTTTTGTTTTTATAAAAGGTTACATTATCTCCCTGAATTGAATTGAACTTGTTTTTAGAAAGGTACGGCCATTTTATTTGTGTTTACTCCTTGCTCTAGGGAAAAATGAGTGTTAAATTTCTGAATATTTTAAAACAAATTTGAATAAATGTTATTAATATTAATTAATATCTTTTCAGTTTCTTTTTTTAAAAGTAACACTCGCTGCATTTTAGTAGTAAGAAGCCAAGATATAGATTATTGAGCTTAAGCTTGACTACAAAATTAAATCACAAATCAAATTGAAATCGCAATATCTGTCAAAAATTTGCAGTTAGATATTTTCCCCAAATCGCACAGCCTTATTGTGTACATATGAGATTTTTGTTATATAGTTTGGCTCTAAAAGCAAGTAGTCACAAAAGGTTCCACTGAATGCATGTTAATACCAGGTGAAAACAATAACACTTCTCGGCATCAAGCAAAGACCGGGTAAAAAAACATTCTACTAACCTAAAAGCCATCTTGTTGGGGAATCATCTATTCTCAAATTGGGGAAGGGAAAGTTTCGCCTTATATCAGCGATGTTACGAAATTCATACTGGGAGGCAGAGTACATCTCGCCATCTGTAAAACAGCAAAACTGTGCTCAAAAACAAGCACCAACCACAAAAAAATACAAAATCAATATGAATCCGAGTGATTTACCGATAATAAATCCAGTGTACCCCTTAGTGGGATCATAAGGGCATTTCTCTTTTCCCTCCTCAAAACGCACAAAGGTAAAACGTGCCACATCCTGATGAAACAGGCAGATGTTTAAACAACGTGCTCTATCTTATACGAGACTATACAGTACATACACTGATGTCTCCTTTGCAATATGAATGACAGAATGAGAGCAGGAAACTTCTCACTATGTAAGCACAGCGGGGTCTGAAGGCGTGAGTCCCGCAGGTGTACAAATGAGTGTCATTGTATCTGTCCAGAAACCGCACGTGATTGTAGCATTCAGTCTGTGATGAAACAAGCAAGACATTATTCAAAGACACTAACAAACATATTAATTCGATGCAAAAAACACTACTCTCGGGTACAGTGAAACATTGCGAGCATTGTTTTTGTGCCTGACCTTATGGTATAAAGGTATGTATTTTTAGCAGCCTACCTTTCAGATGCTAGAGCAGTTTTATAGCTTACACGAAGACGACAACTATTATTACTGTGTGGCTTTTAAGAATATTTAATTCTGATTGGTTAATTGTGACATTTAAAGTATGTTAGCATCAAATAACAACTGCTGAAACTAATAACACAGGCTCAACTGGGTTCTTTGAATCCTCTTGATCAAGGGTCACCAACCCTATTCCTGGAGAACAACCTTCCTGCAGATTTCAGTTGCAACCCTGACCAAACACACCTGTCTGTAATTATCAAGTGCTGCTTCAGGACCTAATTAATTGGTTCAGGTGTGTTTGGTCAGGGTTTGTAGCTCTCCAGAAGCAGAGTTGGTGACCCTGATCTTAACTATTAGAGAATATATAATTGTCATACTTCTCTACCGACTGAATATTAATACACGTAGCCATTAATTACTTCATTCTTTCTGCAAACTTTATCTTAAATAAAGAGTTAGTAAATTATTACAGCATAGCCCTGCAGAAAAATCCAGCTTAAACCAGCCTAGGCTGGTTGGCTGGTTTTAGCTGGTCGACCAGGCTGGTTTTAGAGGGGTTTTGGCCACTTCCAGGCTGGTTTCCAGCCATTTCCAGCCTGGTCTTAGCTGGTCAGGCTGGGAGATGACCAGCTAAAATCAGCTTGACCAGCCTAGCCAGGCTGAGAGCCCAGCCAAAACCAGCTATGTCCAGCTTAAACCAGGCTGGTCAAGCTGGTTTTAGCTGGATTAAGCTGGTCATTTTTCAGCCTGACCAGCTAAGACCAGGCTGTAAATGGCTGAAAACCAGCCTGGAAATGGCCAACACCCCTCTAAAACCAGGCTGGTCAACCAACTAAAACCAGCCAACCAGTCTAGGCTGGTTTAAGCTGGATTTTTCAGCAGGGAGATCAATGTTTTATGTTTAACTGTTTACTTTTGTGGCAAATTAATAAGTTGGATAATGTACACCATAGAGATTGGAAATGTGTTGTCACAGTGCAATGCATTCTGGGAATTTGAGACAGGTTCTCTACAGGTTTATTGAATCATTTATACACTGATTATTTAAACAATAAGCAATCACATCACAAACAAAGAAGAAAAGTTTCCTTGCGGCAGCTCGTTGATATCCTGTCACTTAAGGATAAGCTGGTTCATTTATTTGATCGGCTCCCTCTGCATCTGTGCTCGTTTTTTTAGTTCTACTTTAGCGCTGGAGATCAAATATTATGGAAGGAAGGAATATTTTCAGCTTCTCAGACACACAAAGAGCATTTTTAAATATTTACTCTTTTATTATGTGAGTGTTTGTAAGATGTTCTTCAATTTAAAGAGCCCATATTATGGGTTTTTGAAAATTCCCCTCCATGTAGTGTGTAACACACCTCTAAGTGAAGTGAAGTATCCAGCTAAGGCTTAAATCTGTTAGTGTACAGTGTTTAAAACTGTTGATTCATCTATAAAAGAGTCGACTCATAGTGCTTCAAACGAGTCGCCTTGATACCGATTCATTAGGCGTTTCGCCATGACGTACGAACGAAACCAAGTTATTCACGTGCACGCGCAAACCCGGGAGATTTCAAACCTGAGGCCCCGCCCTCTGACGCAGAAACCCAGACACACACACACACACACCCACAAACACACGCACACAAACATGCCGGTCGATTGAAGTCACACTGCAGATGGATATATTGAGTCTCTACCCAAAGATGAAACCTCAGCATTATAGTCAAGCAGTTGGAAACTATTGGAAACTTCTGCAAACTACATGCTACAAAGAATACTTCATCAGCGTTTGTTAAAGGAAGGATCAGTAAAGTGTAACTTACTGATGGACGTCAGGATGGATTTTTCTTCCTCCATTTCTCAAGTGTAAGTACGTGCGATTAAAGTTGCCTCGTTGACTCTAGCTTGCAAATGTATTTAGTTGTGATTTGTTACTTGTAACCGCGTGTACTGCATCAGGTTAACTGGCTATATTCTCTTATCGCGTGCAAAGTCACGTTAGCGTCAGAAAGCCGCGTGTGTTATTCCGGTCACAAAATCCAACACGAGGTTATAGTTTGGCTGTAACTGTTAGTGCTAACTATTGTACTCGGTGCAATAGTTTGTTTGATACGAATAAAATACGAACTGAATAAACAAAGAGCACTGGTCGCTCACTTACCAAATCTGTAGAGACAGGACAATCACCAGCAACTAGAGCCGCGTCTTTATTTAGAGGAGACTACAATCTGGATCTCAGCATTTGCAGATGAGAACAGCTCTCAGGTAAACAATAATCCTCCTTAGACACGTAAGTTATTGTTGTCGCGCGTCGCGTACACTGTTAATCCACGCGTGAGTCTGCTCTCTCACAGAGAGAAAATGAAAACGAAACTTAATTGCAGCAAACTATAAAAGCAACACTTCACGCTTGTTTTGCCAACACAACGTGTGTGTGTGTGTGTGTGTGTGTGTGTGTGTGTGTGCGCGCGCGTTGTCGTCCGGAGCAGAGTTAAGTGCGCGCGTGTGTGTGTGTGTGTGCACAATATGTGTGTGTGTGTGTGTCTGTGAAAAGAGCAGAGTGAGAAGCTAGGAGATCTCCTCAACTGTTTTTGGAGTTTTTGCTCAATAAAATAGTTAGTCGTCTGAATTTTCAAGTCCATAGTCTGTATTTACATTGACCCACTGGCAGCTAAAATCCACGCCTACACTATCGAGCGTGTGTGAACTGTGATTACTTTTAGATTGCTGATTAGCTGTTTGGCATTTCACTCTCTGACTGAAGGCAGTCGACCAATCGCAACAGACTGTCATTGATCCAATCAGCGCAAATTAGCTTCGCGCTAAGGAGGGGTTTGGGAACAAATGAATCACTGGACGATTCATACAGGAGTCGCTGGGATAATTAGGTAAAAATAAATGCAGATTATGAGACCATGAAAGTGTTTTTTGACCTTGCATGCATATTAAACTGTTGTTGGAGACCCTTACAACCAAGATATGACCCTATTTCATGTATAATATGGGCTCTTTAAGTATTACTTTAAAACGCTTTTTTTTTTTTTGTGGTGATTTGCATTGATTTACATTGTGCGCTTTAGAGCATGTTCAAAAACATGGTGGAATGCAACTTGCCATGATGTAGATTCCTATTCTTTAAACAACAGCTTTTGCTTCCTGTTGGCTGCTTATAGGAATCTTGGGCTTTATTCTGCGAGAACATCTGACTAGATGTACATTATCCCTTACTTTTTAAGAAACACACATTGGCACATTCAGGCTTCAAAAGCTGTTCCTGAGTAAACTAATGTCCAAAATACTATCTGTTATGAAAAACATCACCCTTAATAGAAGCTTCTATCTGAAGCTAGGTAAACTGGCTATATACAGTAGTGTTTGTTATTTGCAATTAAATGTGTGACCTTGAGTTAACCTATTTTTTACAAGAAGATAATATATACAAATGAAGACTGGAGATACCTGATTGTTCTTTCCTTTGCTCAAGCACTGCCTCTTCTGATCAGCAGATGCTGCCCATTCCAGCTATTAAAGAGATATGGAAAATAACTGTTAGCCAAACCATGTTGTATACTGTAAAGGAATGAAATTAATTGAAATTTGAAGGGATAGTTCATCCGAAAATTTAAAACTGGTGTTGAATTACCTTTAGGCCATTCATAATGTAGGTTACTTTTTTCTTTAGTAGAAAATTAAAGAAGATTTTCAGCTAAAACTAAAACTTAGTTATTCATAAAATGTGAGTCAATGGTAAATTAAAATACAAAATGAATGCCTGTGGCTCCTGATGACATTAGAGGTAATGTTATCAATTGTTTCCACATATAAGGCCTCAATGTATCATCAGGAGACACGAGTATTAACTTTCTTTGCATATATGTATATTTTGACTCTTCAATAGGACTTATTATGCTCCTTTTTACAAGATGTAAAATACGTTTTGGATGTCCCTAGAGTGTGTAGTTTCAGCTCAAAATGCCCCACAAATGATGATTTCACGAGTTTTCACCCACACATAGAAAACAGATCAAAATAAGCATATTTGGTGTGCTGTCCAGGGAGAGGGCTCTGAGCTTGGGGCAAGAGAGACAGAGAGGAATACGAGCTCAGCGTCTAGTCAGATCCCAGAAATCCCCCCACCCCCCACCCCCTGCAATACTTGGTATGGATCTGGTTGAGGGTGTGGGGTTGAGGTGGTAGAGGGATGCAAAGTTGATAAGATAACTGAGATAGGATGAGCTTGATTATTTATAGGAATTCTCTTTGATTCTGATTGGATGATTAGTGTGATTGCTGATAGAGAATTTGTTGTGCTTACTATCTATGCTAGGCATGGGACGATCATCAGTTTCAAGGTTTACCGCAGTTTGGAAAAGTCAAGGTATTAAAACCACAAAAATGTTTTGTTATACCGCTTCTTTTTTTGTCTTTGTTGCCTTCCCAGGATCTTCAGGTTGCAATATCCCCAATTTTAATTGGCAATCTTTAGCCAGTTGTAATTGATTGTTTTGGTTCAATTTGGAATTTTCCCAACAGGCGCAGAGCCTGGGGGACCAAATTGAGTGCTCCGACTTGGCCCCCCCAGGTCCTTGTTATAACGTTTCTAAGGTATATGTAAAGGTTTTTTAAGTGTTTTTTTATGTGTTGTAAGGAAATCTGTTTTTGAAGCTAATAAAGACAGTAGAAGTCAAATGTTTTTTTTAATTATGTAGCCTGACATGTTTACTGTTCCAAAATATAATAAATATGTGTGCCGGGTCAGTACCTGGATGGGAGACCACTTGGAAAAGCTAGGTTGCTGCCGGAAGTGGTGTCAGTGAGGCAGCAGGGGGCGCCAAACCTGCGATCTGTGTGGGTCCTAATGCCCATGTATAGTGACAGGGACTCTATACTGCTCAGTGAGTGCCGTCTTTCTGATGAGATGTTAAACCAAGGTCCTGACTCTCTGTGGACATTAAAAATCCCAGCATGTTCTTCGAGAAAGAGTAGGGGTTTCACCCTAGCATCCTGGCCAAATTTGCCCTCTGGCCTCTGTCCATCGTGGCCTCCTAACCCTCCCTATATCATAATTGGCTTCATCGCTCTGTCTCCTTTCCGCCAATCAGCTGATGTGTGGTGTGTGGTCTGACGCAAAATGGCTATCGTCGCGTCATCCAGGTGGATGCTGCACACTGGTGGTGGATGAGGAGATGTGAGAGCGCTATATATATATGTAAGGAATTATTATTATTATTATCATTATAAATGTTTCCTAAAATAAAATATATTGTGTTAAATGGGGAGGGGGGGTTGTTGTTTTTTTATTGTCATGTAAAAATTAATTATTTTACAGCAGTAAACACAATACCGTGATACTGTGAAACCGTGATAAGGTTATCATACCATCAGAAACTTATACCGCCTCATGCCTAATCTGTGCTTTAAAACACTTTACTTAATACTCTTTGAAATGCCCCTTTTGGGTATTGATCCTTATTGTGCCGTTTTGGTGGCTGTCTCTTTAAATTCAAATGAGATTGTGCGGTTTTTATTATAGAAGGAAATATTTTGTTTTAATTTATTTTCATTTATTTTATTTTTTTGCATACGTAAAATGTGGAGGATTCTTTTTTATATATATTTGCAAACATTCTGTAATTGTACATATTCTCCCAAAAAAAAAAAAAGAGGGCGCAGCTACAAATGCCAGCATATGCATGTGTCAGCATCAGATTCAAAAAACAGACTAACGTCCTATGCTAATGAGGGAGAGATCATCACTAATAGGCGGAGCTTTCCACCTCTGATGACACATACAAAGGGAGAATGTCAATCAAAGTGTTCCTGGAGAGAAAACGAAAACATTTTCACCATTAGTAGCTGGTTATATTCACAGACTGCTGCCACACAACTGTGTTTAAAGCCCTTATAAAAGTAATTTTTGCTTAATAGGTCCCCTTTAAAGTGCTTGTAGCCATTGACATGCATTTACTAAGTCACCACTGACCCTGCTTTTAGCTTGAAAATCGTATTTAAAGTTACACTGAAGAAGAAAAGTCACCTACATCTTGAATATCCTGTGGGCGAGAAAATCAACAGCAGTTTTTATTTTTGTGTGACATATCGCTTTAAAGTGACAAAAGAAGGACTCACAGTAAGAGAGTTATTGGTGTCGGAGATGTTGGCAGTGTCTAGTTTGTAAATAGCCTCTCTGGCCCCAACATACAGCACTCCTGGCCCATCTTCCAGTAGCAGAGAGCTGTAGTTCAATGCGGCTCCTTGGAAATGATTACAACCCAGCAGCCCTGCAAAACAGCGAGAGAGACCCAGTTAGAAAAACGGGGACAAACATGACCAAATCGTGTCAACAACATAGAGACCCACTCGATGCATTATTGGAAATCTTTTAACTGAGATGAATGGCTGAAGAGACGAATCTTCAAATAAACCAAAGAATGCATTGAATGGTGATATGACCATGAAAATAAAATAATAAAGCAAAGCTGGGCTGGTGAAAGACTCAAGAAGATTCATGGCATGATTTGCACTTGATGTGACCCAGTTTTTGCCTCAATATGAGATCTAACTTTATTGTCAAAAAGAAATGTTTGCCCACTCAAAAGAAGGGAAAGAGAGGGCAAAATGAGGGTTGTAAAAAAGCAGTGGATTATGCGCAGTGATAAAGTGTCTCTCTGACATTTTAATGCGCCGTTGACTTAGGTGGTCTGCTTCCTCAAATTAAGGACATAAATTAAACCCCGGCACATACTGAAGGGTAAAGGTTTTGTCTTGCCCATCCACACCACTGCACGCTGGGATTTTTCTGCCCCATACTGAGAGTCGGGTCGGCAATACTGATGAGACTTGGCAGTATTAGGCCACACATCAACCATGGTACCCCTCAAATGCCCTTCCCCTGCCTCTCAAAACACCATCCCCCGGTGCTAAAGTCTATCAGCAGCAAAATACAACAAATCCAGCATCCAATACAAAGTACTTGGAATCAGGAAAATTACAGCATAAGTGTTTTGTGCCACATCATGTTTTGCCCATCAGTGTGTATTTGTAATAATTCAAATGATTATTAAAAAAGCTGTGAATGAAAACATGAAGTCACATGACTGGAATTGATCTGCCAAAATAGTTCATAAAGAACCGTATTGACCACATTCTGCAATGCGAAAGTGTGTCGATTTTGCGATTGTTTTAAAACATCTGATTCAGTTGGCTATGGGAAAAATGACTAGGGTTAATAAACAGCATATATACTTGCTCTACACTCTCAGAAATAAAGGTATGCAAGCTGTCACTAGAGTGGTACCTTTTCAAAAGGTACAAATTTGTACCTAAAAGGTCCATATTACCTTAAGGGTACATATTAGTGACTAAGAAGTATAAAGTGTTCCTCTTAAAATTGTAAGTTACTAATATATACTTTTGAGGTACCAATATGGACCCTTTAAGTACAAATGTGTACCTTTTAAATAGGTACCACCCCAGTGACAACTCGCGCACATTTATTCCTGAGAGTGTACAAACAAGTGAGTTCATGACTATACTTAAAAAGTAAAATAATATAATTAGAAAATATCAGTAGGCTGCATGGTGGCACAGTGGGTAGCATGTTCGCCTCACAACAAGAAGGTCGCTGGTTTGAGCCTCGGCTGGGTCAGTTGGCGTTTCTGTGTGGAGTTTGCACGTTCTGCTCGTGTTTGCGGGTTTCCAGGGGTGCTCCATTTCCCACACAAGTCTGAAAACATGCAGTAGAGGTGAATTGGGTAAGCTAAATTGTCTGTAGCGTATAGGTGTGAATGAGTGTGTATGGATGTTTGCTGAAAGTGCATCCGCTGCGTAAAACACGTGCTGGATAAGTTGGCGGTTCATTCCGCTGTGGGGACCCCAGATTAATAAAGGGACTAAGCCGAAAAAAAATATGAATGAACGAATGAAAATATCAGTTCGCAGCATCAAGCAGCACAACAAGCTGTTTATAACGTCTAAAATCAATGGAAGTGAATGAGAACGAAGGTCTTAAGCCAAAAAGAGCCCAATGGCTGTGCCCGCTCGTATGTTAGGGATAAGGTCAATAGCAACTTGCTAAAAACATTTAGAATATCTAACAGTTCATTAGAGCCAGTTTCTATTTTTACTTGTCATGCCTATAGTGCAAAAGTTGTGTACTCTGGTTCCCAAACAAATGACTTTTATCAGTTATGAAATGAATTCATGTTTTCAATTCAATTAATTGATTTCTGAAAAAAAGCTCATATGACGGATTCTTTTTAGTGAACCACAAGCGTGCAGTTTAACCAGTATTGTCCTATTCCTCATTAAATTATTCTTCTAAACCTATTCCTTTTAAGGAATCAAAATCACAGGGATTAGTGTAATCTGATTTCTCTGAAACATACAGAGTAACTAGTAGCTTGATTCCTGAACAAATGACTAAGATAAATAAGAGTCAGGTGCATACCAGAAACATACAATTGAACTAATATAGTGCAATACAGGAGCAAATTATTCAACTGAATGATTGGCTGTTGTGACTTGGTGCCTGTATTTGAATAGCATAGTTGTAATGAATGTACTGAATGAATGACCCTTGTTTTTAGAACTAAAAAACATATAGAGTTACTAGTGTAGTCAGAATGATGAATGAATAACAGAGACTTGTTTCTTTTAAACGAATCAAAGCCAAACTGGACAGTCAGTGTAATCTGATTCCCAAATGTATCTAACCAAACCAAAAGCTCACAGACCAAATTGTGTAGTATGTGTTACACACACAAATGACTGTTTGTGAGTTGTTTTTTTCAGTGAATCAAACACAAAAAGCATAGAGCAACCAATATCATCCAATTCCTGATAAAATGACAGCTGTGTTTTTAGTGAATCAAAAGCATGCATTGCAGTCAATGTAGACCAATTTCAAATGATTATGTTATTTTGACATCCAATAACAATGTGAAATATTTGATTGATTTTAGGTTGTGTTGGAACGTAAATCCTGTGAGCTGGTTTCTTCTTGGTTACTGAATCATTTTTAGTGATTTCTTTTGTGTTGTGGCTGACAAGGTTATTAATACAAGATATTATGTGATGTTTTATATTCTTCTTTTATTGTTTCTACTGTTGTAGTCTAAGAAAGGTGCATTATAAATAAAATGTATTATTATTCATTCATTCATTTTTTTGTCGACTTAGTCCCTTCATTAATCCGGGGTCTCCACAGCGGAATGACCTGCCAACCCATCCAGCAAGTTTTTACGCAGCGGATGCCCTTCCAGCCGCAACCCATCCCTGGGAAAGTATTATTATTATTATTATTTTTGTTATTGTTTTTGTTTGTTGTTGTTTCCAATTTCGCAACTTCCAGTTGATCCTAAAATTATATGTTAACTTCTTGCCACCAGACTGGAAAAAATGTTCCCCTGCTTAATTCACTCAGATCAATCGGGTTTTGTTAAAGCTAGATATGGTTCAGCCAATTTTTAAAGGCTCTTAAATATAATAAATCATTTGAAAGTGAAAAATGTACAAAGATGGATAGTATCCCTCAATGCCGAAAAGGCATTTGATAGAATTAAAAGGAATTTTTTTATTTGCAGCACTAAAAAAATAAATCTGAGTGATAAATGTATTTTGCTGATCAAAACTTATATAAAAATCCCTTAGCAAAAAATCTAGGGGTAGAGATGACGTCTCAGGAGTATTTTTACAAATACTGTTCATTAGATATCTATACAGATGATATTTTATTATATTTAACAAAACCTGATGAATTTATCACTGCAACACTTAATATTATTAATGAGTTTAGCAATACATCAGGCTTTTATTATTATAGGTCTTAAATGAATGACAAAACGCGGTGGCAGAGTAAGTAGTGCTGTCGCCTCACAGCAAAAAGGTTGCTGGTTCAAGTCTCGGCTGGGTCAGTTGGCGTTCTGTGATGTTTGCCAGAGATGGGGTTGCAGCTGGAAGGGCATCTGCTGCGTAAAAAACATATGCTAAATAAGTTGGCGGTTCATTCCGCAGTGGTGACCCCAGATTAATAAAGGGACTAAGCCAAAAAGAAAATGAATGAATGAATGAATGACAGTTGAGTCAGTTCTTTAATGAATCAAAAGCAAAGCAACAAATGTAGTCCAAGAAAAAAAAAACTATTAATTCTGGAACAAATGGGTCTTGTAAATCGATTCACTAAATCAAAAGCATACTTCGCTACCAATTTAATAAAATTCCCGAATGAATGATTCAGTTCCTGAATGAATGGTTGTTATGCGTTCGTTCTTTTTAGTGAATCAGACTCAGACAGTAACAGCAGAGTCAATAGAGTCCAATTACATAACAAATGATTCAATTCCTGAATGAATTACAGTTGTGAATCGATTCCTTTTTAAGTGAGTCAAACAATTAGTGCAGTTCATTTTCTGAAATGATGCAGTAATAAAACACCAACTTCAACAATATAATTCAAGTGTAGTCCACATCTCCACCGAATGCCAGATCTAAGCACAGCTTACAACATACTGAGATTTATGAGCTAGAATGACAATGAGTGGCATTATAAAGCTTGAAGTCAAGGCTATGAGGATCTAAACTGTCAATCAAAGAAAGGTCGGAACAGACCTACGGGTTGCCGAGCGCGTGGGAGGCCAGAGGCTAATATTACTCATAACAGGAAAGAAAATATTAAGTTATGCAAACACGATTCAAGACCTCAGGCGAAGTGACGACGTTCTGTGTGTGCAGTTAATATGTGTGTCTCATTGTGTAGACAGAGAAAGATAGGGACTCTAACAAACACAGTGATGAGTGCAGAGCTGACGATAAATGGAGGGATCACACAAAAGCTTGTCCTTGCACGTGCGCGCACACACACTCACACATCTGCAGCCATACCACGACTACTTTTTAATAACCACATATCAGGGTTTAATGAAAAAGGGAATGCTGCCAGAGCTATAATTTGGCCATACTTTATGCTTTGTGCAACTGTCACGTTTTTTTCGCTCCAGCATACTTGATTTTAACGACTCAATCGTGACACCGAGGGCTCCAATATTTTTGCATAATGCCTGCTTAACTATATATTCATGCAAATATACTGCTCGTGTTTCTTGTTTGACTGCATGGGCTCTCTTTTACAAATTAGTAAGGCTTAGTAAACCTGCAAAACGTACTACATTTATAAAATGATCTAAGTATAAAGTAGATACACTTCCCAAGTAAACCAAGATACCTTTTTGTCCATTATTAAATGTGCAGTATGTAAGTTTGACACCCAGTGGTTGAAATAAGT